ATGCTTGCTGTGTTTTACATTCTTTAAATTTGAATTGTATTTATTTATAATATCAACCCTGCCTTTTCCTGCCTTATTTTTGTTTGCTCGGGTATGACTGTTACACTTACAAGCTCCTCTCCTGCAAAGTCCTATCTTGCAAAAGTGAGTAGAGCTTGGCAAAAATAAATAAATAAATAAAATCAGTTCACTGGCAATTCTGAAAAATTAAAAAAAAAATAGTTTTGTTTTGGGCAAACCAAAAACGTGTTTTTTTTCTCAAAATTTCCAGTGAATCGAAAAGTCAACAAAACTCTGTGTAGGAAAAAAAAGTTTTATTTTGACATTTCCAAAATATTTTGATTTTTTTCAGTTCAGTTGAAACTATTCAGTGAACGCACCATGAATTTGCAAATAGTTTTGGGTCAACAAAACTGCATCTTTCAGCAAATATATTATTAAAATTTCACCCAGCACCACTGTTGAAGTCAATAGGATTCTATGTGGCTGCAAAGGCCCGGCCTCACAGATCACTGTCTGGGATCAAGGCAATAGTTTGCTAACTCATTAATGCCCCTTTTAAAAACTCGCCAATGCTACTGAACTTGCACTTATATTTTTTTCCAGTTCTAGGATGGCATGGAGGGCAGATCAGTTGTGGCCATTAAACTGTAGCAGATTTCAAGCAGATTAAAGAAAACAAAATTCAATTCTGAATGTTTGGGAATATTGATAAATAGAAGAATAGCCCTGCCAGAAACAAAAAAGTTTTAAACAGAGATCTTTGAGATAAACTAGAAATAGAGTCATGAGTATAACAGAAGCAGTATGTGATTTATTAATATTATTATTTGTATTGTGGTAGCATCTAAGAGTCCTAGTCATGGACCCAGACCCCACTGTGCTAAGCGCTGGACAAACACAGAACAATATGGCGTTGGATAGTTTTGATACAGAAGAAGAACTGTCTCGCATGATGAAATAGGAAACAGACGAAAAGGGGAAAAATAATGGAGAGGAATGGAAACAGATAGGGGTCCAATCCAAACCTCACTGAAATAAGTGACAGAACTCCCATTGACTGCAGTGGGTTTTGAACAAGGCCCTATATGCAGCCACAACATACAATTATGACCAATTATTATACCAGTGGTGCCTTACACAGGTCAGATTAAAGAGATCTATAGCAAATGAAGTGATGGCTGTGGGTCAAGAGCCTTGTGCTCTTGAAAAGGCATGCAGACATCATGGTGCCGAGTGAAGCGTGTCATCCAAGACAGACAGGTAATAATAATGAATTTCCACATCAGTTACAGACTTCACCAATCGTAATTTGCGAGTGGTAGGTCCAAGGGATGGTGATTGTAAGCTCTTTGGTTCTTTTCATTATGTGGGTGCACAGTGTTTAATTCAATGGGCCCCCACCCTGACTGGGGTCTTTAGGTGCTACTGCAACATAAATAATACATGTAAAAATAACAGTGGTGGCTTTGAGAACAGGGGTTGGTAGAGCATTCCGTGTGCAAAAGCTTAACATTTCATTTTCAAGAAGCCAAGATTTACTCGCAGTGGTATCAGAGACAGTCCAATGTTACAGAAATTTGGGCTATATTTGACCAATCTCGTTCTGTTATATTAAAAAAAAAAAAAATTAATGGAGATATCCTATCTCCTAGAACTGGAAGGGACCTTGAAAGGTCATCGAGTCCAGCCCCCTGCCTTCACTAGCAGGACCAAGTACTGATTTTGCCCCAGACCCCTAAGTGGCCCCCTCAAGGATTGAACTCACAAGCCAATGCTCAAACCACTGAGCTATCCCTCCCAGATATGCTTGCAAAATCTGTGAAAATCTCTAAAATCTAAGGCTTAATTAAAGAACTGCTGCAATCTTGTTTTGTCTTTTCTTAAACAAGTTAGAATCAGATCAATGCTAATATCCCAACAGTAATGACCAACGCTAGGAAAACAAATCCATGGATGAGATAGAAGACAAAAAGTTTTCTGTAAGGAAACACATTTCATTTCTAAGCTAAAAAGGGATTTGAATAAACAAGGAGTCAAGAACATTTTTTTTTAAATGATGGATACCTTAAGATGGAACACCCATTTTTCTCCAAAATGGAGCTCACCAGTAATTTATAGAGATATTACAGTGTCTTTGCAGAATCCATACATGAAGCAGAATCTCTACTGCTTGCTCATTACCGAACAATAAAAAGCCAAACTGATGGATAATAAAGCTTGCCCACCAGTTCCCATTTTGCATGTTTTCATCAATTATTTCTTAGCTAAGATGGTTAGATATCATTTCCCCTTGGATGAGTTGCTTCTAATACATCTAAGTGTGAGAGGTGCCTTGCGAAACAGACAAATTTCCTAGCTGCAAAAGGTTATGGGAAGAGTGTTGCACCGGGCGGATAAACAGACGAAGTACCAGAAGACAGAGAATGTGCAGTAAATTTGTGAGTTAATATAAAGCAGATCTTGTTAATGCACAGAGTGTGCTGGTTGCGTCAAAGGGGTTGAAGCTAATATTTCCCATCAGTGGCATTTTAATGAATAAGTTGAGTTAACAGATAACTGTCATTGTCCCAGTTTTCTAAATCAAGAAATGTAGGTAGAAAAGTTTAGTAACATGCCCATTTCCACCACAGCGGGAACCATTGGCAGAGCCAAGATTAGTTCTTGGTTCTGAGTCCTCCTCTCAGATCACTCACTTAACTCGTTAGGAAAGAGTGGGAAAATGAGGAGCTAAGTAGCTATGGGGAAAGGCAGTGAGGGTTAAAGACATGATAGTGTCTGGATCACTGCAGCGAGGATAACATTGAGTTTTTAATGGTGTGCACTGTATTCAACTAAAGAGTAGCTCTATTGCTTTAGACCTTTTAAGATAGACTTCACAAAACACTAGAAAATGGGCACAATCCTACACTTGGGAGATTGACTGGATATGACCTCAACGTACTTTTCCATCCCTAAGTTCTCATTCTGTGATTCACTATAAGTCACATACATGAGCCTCTAACTGTTGAAAAAAATTACTGTTCTTTTCCATTTCTGGTTCCAGTTACCATTCTCATTGCCACACTGTAATTTCATGCAGAACCTATTTACTGAAATGCTGCTAAGAAGGAAACAGTCAATTCTAAAGTCTTAGAGCCCAATTCTGTTCTCAGTTACACCAAAGTAAATACAGTGTAACCTCACTGACTTTCCTGGTGCTACTCTAGATTCACATTGGTGTAACTGAGAGTAGAATTTGGCCCTTAATTCTGAAACCAGGACAATGAGTTCCAGGCCTGGTGACATAAGTCCACTGGAATCCGATTTTTGTTACATTCCCTCCGGCATGTATTGCAGTGTACTCTAAGAACTCAAATGTACAGCAGTGACAGATGTTCTGAATAAAATGTAATAAAGTTTGCATCAGATGCCTGAACTAGTGTAGACCAAAAAAATGAAATTATGTCTACTGGGGTTTCTGCAACTGAGTAAGAATAATTGACTTGGAAAATATATTGCTGATCATGCTTCTAATTCCCAAGCAACTGCATATTAATAGAAGGCGCCACATTCCGTAAGTGTAGTATCTGGAGAATAAGTTGAAGGTGTTTGGTTTTCAGATGTTTTGGGATTTGGTAACGTAGAATTTTTGGGGGGAGTGGAGAAGTAGGTGAGTTATAATCTATACTAACCTCACTTAATGTTGTGCTACAAAACATATAACATATCTTTCACTCTGGAGCATGGAAAACATCTGTAAGAGGTGCTAATCTTTTTGAGGTTCAAGCCAAGGAAGTGATACATTCCTTATAATAATACTAAGGAAGGACTAGAAGCATGAACCAGATGCAGCAAATGTTTTCCTTGCTTTGTTTTGATCAGCATTCATCAAATTTGGACATTAATATCATGTTGGGATATTTTCTTGACTACATTGTTTTAGTCCTGAATACTGTAGTACTCTTTTTCCATTACAACTATGAAACACTAGAATTTATCAGTGTTAAGAAAATCCCACTAACTTCAGCCATATGGGAAACATTTGAAGTCAGGATTTGTTTTCAGATACATTTATTTGCATTCGATCAGTTAAAACAAATTATTAGCTTATTGCTTGATGGATGTCTTTTCATAGATTCCTAAATTGAAAAGGCCAGAGGGAACATTGTGATCATCAAGTCTGATCCCCTTTATAACACAGGCCAGAGAATTTCAAACACTATTCCAGAGTCAAGCCCAATAACTTCTGGCTGTGAGAGAACATATCTTTTAAAAAGACACACAGTCACGATTTAATGACTTCAAGTGATGGATAATCCACTACACCTGTACATAAATTGTTCCAACAGTTAATTACTCTGACTGTTTTTTTTTAAATTTCCATCTAATTTTGCATTTTCATTCTAAATGTAAATAAAATATTATTTTCAAAATTAAATGTTGAAACATGTCCCTTTATGTTGCCAGGTATTATCATTGTCTTTTATTAGTCTAGCAAAATGAGGACTGAGATGAGATTTGATTCCTCTCTACAAATACATTAGGGAGGTAAACACAAGGGAGGGAAAGAGCTATTTAAGATCAACAACAGAGTTGGCACAAGAACAAAGCAGCATAGACTGGTCATGAATATATTTGGGATGAAGGTTAGAAGAAGGTTTCTAACCATTAATGGAGCTGGGTTCTGACACAGCCTCCCAGCAGGAGAAGTGGGGACAAACAACCTAAGCTTGATAAGTTCATATATGTGATTATATGATGGGGCTCCTTGTAATAGCAGGGAACTGGACTCAGTGAACCAGGAGGTCCCTTCCAGTCCTATGTCCCTGTTATTTTTAGTGGTAGTAGCAGAATTGTATGGTGGCATCACCTAGCGGATTCATCCAGGACGGCTCCCAAATGTCCAATCACACAGTAAGTGAAATATAATGTTTTACTGCAAGTGTTCAGTCCATGTCAAGTTTCAGATTTGTAAATTCCTTCCTTTTTAACTAAACTCAAAAGCAAATGGTACATACCTGGCAAACATCATAGTGCTCAAAAAGAGACAGCAAGCCGATATCACTGCGGTTAGTGATTCCTTTCAAAACGGTGATATTTCCATTTCCAGAGTCCAGCTCTATTACATCATTGAACACGTTGGACACAGCCTTACCAGTCAGCAGCAAGTTCACAAGTTCCTGTTTACAATATAAAAAAAAGTCATCAACTATACATCTCGCCAGCTCACTAAGAATCAACACAACACATTGTGGTAGGTGAGCATAGTTAAGGCTGCACCACAGCTTTTATTTAAGTGGGGAGTTAACCTTATCTGGAATAAAGGCGTCAGCTAAGCAGTGGACTTTTCAAAGGATGTGCTTCAGGATTCCGACCCCAAAGTGCAATGAAGAAACATCAACTGGATTTAAAAGCCTAGTGAGATTAGGGCAGGGAAGCCAGTTTACATCCAATACAACTTTACATCCAATACCATTCTCAACCTTTCTTGGTTGGCACCCCCTTATTTTAAGTCAATCATTTCACTAGCCCTGACATGTATTGTAAAAGTAAGACTAAAAAAATGTATCAGCATTAATGCTAAGCCTATGTAATCGATGTGCACATGTTTTTTGAGAGGCTGGCATACTTGAGCTTGAAGGGTGAGCGGGTGCAGGGAGTGGAGGAGCGTGATTTTCTTTGCTTTAGATTGTAATAAAATTTTCGCTGACTTATGACACCCCCACCCCCAATTGACTTTCATTACCCAGCCCCTCGAGGGGCTGCAACCCACTGGTTGAGAAACATTGCAATACCAGAAGACATTATCAAGATATGGTCAACTAGGAGTTGAGTAAACAAGTATTTTATAGTATCTTCCTGATATTTCTGCATGTGTATAGGCATATTTTTTCTATCTGATCTGATTTGCCAAAAGGTTTACTAACGTTTGAGAACCTGGACTCACTCAGAGATGGATTTACCTTCATGGAGGCAGGGAGATGCAGTATCTACCTATATGGCTCGTATCACTGCTGCCTTTGAAAGCCAGTGTGAACCCCAGGCCTCTCACTGCAATGGTATTACCATTGAAGATCATGTTGGAGAACACTGCAAGGAGGTGGATCCACTCTGGAAGGACAGCTTTAAAATACAGTAAGGGCCTCAGAAAACTGTGACTCTGGCAAGGACTTGAGCCATTAGGGGTTTGACCTGAGCTGTGCTTTGATGGTTTGGACTTCTTGGAACCTGAATCCCAAAGCACATCTCAAAGGGCGAAATGCCATGTGTATCTAAACCAAAGAACGTGTTCCTCCCATGTCCTGTGAATTGAAACAGCCAACATTCATAAAGTCATTGGGTGGCTATCCCTGGAGAAAAGTTAATCAATTCACACTGAAATTCAAATTCAGTCAGGGTAGATGCCTAACATTTTTTTCATAAAGAAAGGCCAAGAAACGAGTGTTATATGGATGTGTTCATTTTCTCATGAAAGAGATGAGAACAAATGTTGCCTGAACAAAACATCCTTCCATGCTTTAACAATGTATTAAATTCACCCAGTACAACTCCAAAACACCCTTCTCTGCCACTTACTTACAATAATCAGTGGTGGGCTTAGTCAGATGCCACCTGTGCCACCCATTATGGCCTACCCACTACATCTGCGAGTCTGCTCATTTTGTTCCCTCTAATATTACTGTTGGCCGGTCCTTGGAGTCAGAGTGGGGGGGGTGTATAAAGCCTATGGAACTGAGTGGGACACCACACACATCTCACTTTGGATAAGACCTCCACAAAACACGCTGACACTAATGGCACATAGCAACATACAGAAGCGGATTATGCCACAGAAAGGTATTGGCTGAGCATTAACACACAACATTGTGAGGGTCCACAGAGAAAAAACAAAATATGAAGAGAATTTTGAGGAAAACAGATTCAAGTTGCCATAGCTCGAAGGCAGAAAGAATTAAGCTATTGCCAGTTTAGACTAGATTTATGATAGCAATAATACATTTACATATTTATAGCCAGCTTTTATCCCGAAGGACCCCAGGAGCTTTATAGACTTGCACTGATGTACAAACTACATAAAGGGAGCTCTTAGTCCACCAGGGAAGTGCAGCCCCCTCTTACAAGAAGCACTGCAGATGTTTAACAGCACACAGCAACACTGCACAACGGGTTTGGGAAAGGAAATGAATGATGCCTTTTTCCTGCAGGGTGAATTTAGGTACTGTAGACAGAATGTTTTGAGTTTAAGTTTGACCATGGCCATAAGATTACAACTACTTCTTTTATGAGGACATGCCAATTTAATGATTACAAATTTTCAGGACCTCAATTTTATTTCTCATTGGAAGACAGGAACTCCACCAGCCCGGCAGCATTAGTTCGATACTAACTCGGAAGGAAGAACACTAACTTCTGAGCAACAAACACTGCTTCCTGCATCATTGATGCTTACATGGCAACTCAGTGGTATTTGTTAGGTTCCTCCCCACCCCCAAGAACCCAGCAAGTGAGCATTAAATGGGGATGGAAGAAAGATGCACCAGAAACCCAACTCAGATATCAATCAAAAGCCCACTGACTATATCAGGCTTTTGATTAGGTCCCAACTGAGCTTGCAAAAATAAAAAATTAGAAAAACAAAGCAAAATTAGAAAAATAGCAAATAATAAAAAAATGTTGTTTCAGACAGCTAAGGAGAAGATTCAGAAAGCAAGAGACTCTCAGAACAAAGAAGAGAAAACAAAAGTCTTATAAAAGAAAAAAGGAGGAAGACACTTGACAAAGGGAAAAACACACGAGGAACGTGAAATCAATAGTGTTGTTTCTTCATGGAGTATAGTTCATATTATGTTGGCTTTCTGCATGTGCTGTCTTTTAACACTCACCCACCTTCCCTACTTACTTGTGTGCAGTATCCGTGGGTGCCAATCAGTCGGTTTGTGAGCACATCAAAATCATTGCGCACCCTGAAAAAGGTTTGGGAAGATTTAATCATAATTTCAGAGGATTTAACATTTCTAAGGTTTGGAAAGTTGCAAACATGGCTCAATTTTTGGATTTTTTTGGGGTACGTTTCTCTATGAAAAAATATGCTTGTTTATGTAGTTACCTAAAGCCTGCTGAAGACATAGCAGATATAAGTTGATTTACAAGAAATTAGCAATTAAGTGGCAAACTGTAGCAGTAAAGAGAAAGGGACGCTGTTTTCAACAATAGTTGAAGCTACAAAACGCACAGCTACTGAGTGTTTTGCTTAAATGAATATTGAGCAAAAAAAGAGTGTTAGAAGAAGATATGCAAGTATTCTTCATATATATTAATTACTTCCAAGGATGATTGTTTTAGGAACATACTTGATTTTGTATTTTATGTAATGTTTCAGATATGAAATATAGATATTACTAACAAAGGTGCATCCACCAGGTTAGTCTGTCTTTGATCTCTAGGGAAATTTCTCATTGCTATCAACGGGATTTGTCCATTAACTGCAGACAATTCTGTATATGCACTGTACACAGTAGAATCCACCATATACAACGTGGAAGAACAATGTGCAAATTTAAAACCCCATTCTGAGATCCTTTATTCTTAGAAACATCAGAATCATCATATTGCTTCGTGCCACTGGTCCAGCTACTCCAATACTCTAGATTCAATACAATACTAGATTCAAGAAACATCCTAGTAGACAATTATGGAATACCCTCCACAAAGAGGAAGTTTTTTTCCTAAATCCCATCAGTTAGTGGTTGGTTTATACCCTGAGACATGAGGGTTTATATCCCTTATATTTTTTATTCTATCTAATGTAATTGTGAATATTCTTATTATACATATAAATGTCTGATCCTTTTCTGAACCCAATCAAACAACTGGACCCTATGACAAGTTTATGGCAATAAATTCCACTGATTATGTGCTGCCTTAAAAAGTATTTCTTCTTTCAGTTTTAAATGTGCTGATTTCAATTACATTGGTTCCCCTTATTCTTGTATTAGTAAAAATGTAAAGGGATTGTCTGACTTTCTCTATATATTTCATTGTTTTATATACCTGTTGCATGTTCCCTCTTATTTGTCTCCTCTCTAAACTGAACAATCCTAATCTTTTCACTCTCTCCTGATATGTAAGTCTTTCCATGCATCTAGCAATTTTTGTTGCCTGTCTTTGGACCCCTTACATTTCAGTTTTAAAAAAATATATAGTGGTATAATATATCTGTGATAATGGAACAGATATTATGGTTGACTTGGTGTGGTTAAAATAGGATTAAACCTAACATTTCATCCAAAACTTGAACTTAACACATATTTTCAGTTCAAAAATTTGGTTCCAAGAATAAAAAAGTTGGGGCATCTCTGCAGTTCCTGGTTATGTCCCAAATAGTGCAGAGATATGTCTCTTGTGGTATTACTTGTAGTGCCAAAAGCAGGATGTACTGTAAATCTTCTAAGATTTCCAGCCTGCTTTCAGGACTGAAGAGGTCCTTAGAATCACTATATCTGAACTGAACCTGTTGCGGTTCACCCGTGCACTACTTCATGTGTATAAATGAGAAGGGCAATCCAAGAGCCAGTTCCAGTGATGTCTAAGTGCCATACTAGCTAATGTTACTAGTACTGAATCAAAAGGGCTAAGAAGAATCCATGAACACTGTGTATGTGGTGTGGAAAAGTCTTGTATAAAGAGATTACAAGATTACAACCTTTCAAGGCATGGACGGAACGATAATAATCTTTGGACTTTGGCCACTCAGTTTTAGAAACAGTTGCATCTTGAAAATGACATAGCCTTGTTCGAAATGAGCGGACTATACAATATACGTCAGCTAGGGGCGATGGGACATACAAGCAGGACAATGGAAGGAAGTTCTAATTGCTTCTGTAGATGCAAACAATATGGGACTTTAGAGGTGTATCTCAGATTTTCAAGAAGAAACACATCTGCATTTCAAATCATTTCTGCTAGGGAGGAAACAACCACCAAACATATAGCTATAAGATTTACAACGATTATTAATCATACTGTCACTACAATTCCCCATTCCCAAGAAGTTAGCATGCGAGCCAGAGTGTTTATTTACAGTACAATAAGAGGTGTAGTATTTGACAGGCCTAGCACACTTTAGGCACTTTATAGACAGCAAATAAATACAGGTAATGACATTGCATTGTATATTTTTGTCAGCTTGCAATGCAGTACGTTGAAGACATGCAGCTTGTGAAAGGGCCATTAATTTTGATGTCCTGGTAATAAATTGTCTAAAGAACCTTAATAAATAAATTATTGTTATTAATGATACCACTTCAATAGCATTTTCCATCTGTAAGTCCTGGTCCACACTGCCGCCTAAATCGATGTAAGTTACGTCACTCAGGGGTGTGAAAAAATCACCACCCTGAGCGACGTAGCTTATCTTGACCTAATATGGTGTCTACACCGTGCTATGTTGATGGAAGATGCTCTCTCGCCAATTTAGCTTCCACTTCTCGGGGAGGTGGAGTACTGAAGTCAATGGGAGAGCGCTCTCCCATCGACTTATCGCGTCTTCACCAGACCTGCTAAATCGATGCCACTGAATCAATCACAGCAGCGCCAATTTAGCAGGCCAGTGTAGACAAGCCCTACGTCTTAAAGCACTCTACAGGGTGAGTATCATTATCCTTAAATTAAAGATGGGGAAGCTGAGGGACTAAGAATTTTGTCCAATGGTACACAGTGCATCAGTGGTTCAGCTGGGTATAAAATCCAAGTCTCCTGGCTCTATTCCCTAGGTCAGGAGGGTCTCAAGTCAATGAAAAGATGCTGCTCAAGTACAAGGCCATTAAAAAGGGGGGATTGCCTCCTTTCATTACCCTATAGGGCTCTTGTGCATCTTCATGGTGTGACATTACCAGTATTTTCCTCTGTTACAATAGGGTGGAAGTATTACTGTAGAGTGGGAGAAAATATTTTGATTGGAGGCTGAAAACACAAAATCAAGGTAGATATGGGGTTTGGATCATAAGCAATAGTCTGTAAAGAAAATGGTCCAGTTAGACACCAAGGTTCTGATTCAGGAAAGCACTTAAGCACGTGCTTAAAGTTAAGTTCATTCTTAAGTGCTGCCCTGAATGGTGACCTATTTGCATAAAGCCATAATGATAGCTTTGGGCTTCCAGATTGTTCTCAAAGGTCTTACAGATGAACTATCATTACTAGATGTATTTTCTATTTTCAGCTTGCACTGTATTTACGGAAACACATTTGCTCCATTTGGAACCCAAATGCTGATGTTAAAACTCCACTCCTTATGCCCAATTATTTGTAGCCATCTCTATCATCACATATTATTATTTTAAAACATTTTTTTGCGATGGTAAGTTCCCAGTGTAATTCTTTTGCTTTGTATCAGTTAGAGAAATCCCTTCATGACAAAAATACCTCAGTGGAGCCCTTTTATAGTTATAAAAAAATCCAGTGGCCTGTATGCACTTTTCTGATACTTTCCAACACTGTCTCAGAAGGCTGTTGTTAGAGGCAGGACCGGTTAAAATACACATTACAGAATGATATCATCATTACATATAATTAATCTCATTTTGCCTGGGCTCAACTGTATTATTATATATTAACCTTGAGTCCTGTTGGAATTATAAGCATTACCGTGCCATGAATCTCAAAGAGCTATACAAACTCTATGGGTAAGAGCCTCAGCTGCTATAAATTCTCATTGCTCCATTGACAATACTTCTTTGAAATCAATGGAGCTAATACAATTTACATCAGCTTACCATCTGCCCCAAAACTTAATTGTATCTATTCATCTACTTCTATCCATCCCTCCTATTAAACCCACCAGTACATTGCAGCCACTCCTGATATAGAAAATACAAACAAATCCCACAAGAGTTTAGGAAAAGTAAAGAAAAAAAACCATATTTAACTGAAACTGTAGTGGGAATGGGGATTTCTAGTGAGATGTATCCAGCTTCTATCCAGTTTTTAAGAATGCACACGTACAAGTTCAAAAAATGTAAAGAAACAAAAATACTTGAATCCTGGATACTACGGTTTGAAATAATCAGATGGCCATCAGATGAGTTACACTCATGTTAAAAAAACAATGCTCCATAACGGTTTATGTTCTCAATCTGTTGATTGCAAGAACCTGCAAGCTCAAAGGAAAATCCATGCCCTGTCTTTAATGGAAAACAGCTGAGAATTGCACACTAAATCCAAAAACCAGGCATACATTTACTACTGGGGAAAACGCTGGCATAGCAAAACAAGCATAAAACTGTTCATTATTTAGCTTAGATTTTCCTTCTGTTTGTTAGCTATAAAAAAAAAAGTTGTGTGTTTAAGTTAGTGCTGGTTCCTTAATCCTGTGGTAAAGCTGTAGTAGTAAACTGATGACATCACACCCATTTTCATGGCAACACTGTTACATTAACAAACACACAATTAGGAGTCCACTACAGAAATAGAATTTGAGCTAAGAAGGAGAAAAACTCCTCTTTGAATGTAAAGATCTCAAATAATTATAAAGGAGCTATGAGGAATGACAGGACGGATGAATGGCTTTTTGTATTAATGGTCTATTTTGTTTCACATTTGCACAGTATGAAAGTCCTTTTACAAAGGTAACCGATGTTTTAAAAAGGGCAGAAAAAACCTATGTTTAAAAACTGTGAAGATTATGATGCGTCTCAATAAAAGCAAGGACACAGTGTTGTGCTTAACTCACCGTTTTTTCTTGTTTGGGCCCTGGCTCAGCAAATACGTGTTTAACTTTAAGCATGTGAGTAGTTCCATTACAAGACAGTCAGGTTTTTATACAGTATATAATGTATTCTGATTTAATACAACTTACTCCATGTAGGTACTGATTCAGATCCAGGCAGGTTCAACTCAGGCCTTCATTTTTCCAAAGTATATTGATAGTTTTCTGTATTTACCATGTCAAACTCTTCTGTATCAAAGC